TTAAATGCTGTCTCTTTTTTTTTTGTTGTTAATCCTCATCTGAGGATATTTTTTTCATTGATTTTTAGATAGAGAGGAAGTGAGGGAGGGGGAGAGATCGAGAGATTGAGAGAGAAATAGAGAGGAGGAGAAAGAATGAGAGAGAAAGAGAGAAACATTGATTTGAGAGAGATAATCGATTGGTTGCCTCCCACACGACCTTGACCGCTGGCTGGGGCTGAGGATTGAACATGGAACCCAAGTACAGGCCCTTGATTGGGAATCGAACCCATGACCCTTTGCTCATGGGCCAGTGCTCTAACCGCTGAGCCAAACTGGCCAGGGCTGTCTCCTCTTTTGACTCCAACAGCTCTTTCTAGCACTGTTGACATGTTAGGCTGAATAATTCATTTTTGTTGGGTGGCTGTCCTGTGTATTGTAGGCTGTAAGCAGCATACCTGGCCTCTACCCACTAGATGCAAATAGTACCTTCCGTATGTGATATTAGACATTGCCAAATAATTCTTTTTGGGGGGGAGGGGGGCAGGGGAGGATATCTTCCGTGGTTGAGAACCATTATGTGAATTTGATCTCAGTTGAAGATCCTTGTCTGATTTTCCCGGCCTGTGGCTTTTACCTTCAGGATTTTCTGCAGTACATACTACGTGGATTGTACCCTTGCCACTTACTACATTTGGCTGTGCATGTCTTTCTCCTCTTTGCTGCGTTTGTGTGTAGGCGCACATGCACATGTGTGTGCCATGTGTGACTGATTTTAAGTTCTAGATGTATGTATTTTACTTTTTTGTTTGCTTGCTGTTTTTGCTCAACCCTATATACTTGTTAGTAGTTTTAAGTATATCAGTTGCTTGTTCTTTTTCTTATTTTTCCTTTTTTTATTCTCACCCGAGGACATTTTTTTGCACTTATCTTCAGATAGAGAAGGAGGAAGAGAGAGAGAGAAACATTGACGTGAGAGAGACACATCGACTGATTGCCACCTGCATGAATCCAACCAGGGCCGGGGACGAACTGCAACTTAGGCACATGCCCTTAAGTGGGAACTGAACCCAGGACTCTTCTGGTCCATGGGCCGATGCTTTAACTGCTGAGCCAAACCGATCAGGGCTTTCCATTTTTTTATGGTAGTAATGGGGGTTTGGAAAATTGAATCATCCTAGAAAATGTGGAGAACTTTGAGGTGTTCTAAATTCTAATATTCTGTTAATGATAATTATGAGACTTGCAAACAGTAGAATTAATACCGATGTAATGGTAGCATGTATACCCAATAATAGTAGAAAATTCAAGACAGTGTAAGATAGTTATAAAGATAAAAAAGATGTAATTTCTGTTAGATGTATCCGTTACATAAGTAACAGAAAAATGTGCAGTAGAGTAGAAATAAAAAAATAGAAATATAGAAAATGGAAGGATTTGTAGAAGCATGAAGTAGAAATGATTAGTTCTACAGAGTGAGATGAGCAAAGTAATCAATATGTCAAGGTAAATTGTTAGGAATGATGGATGTAGCATCTGGTTAGGAGTGACTTGTGTAAAGCTGACAAATGTGATATGTGAATGTTAGTAACTTGAAAACAAGTAGGGAATAGAGAGGTTAGCTTCTTACTACCAACTAAAGAGAAACATGAATTTTTTGTACCAGTTGGGAAAGATATTGCTCAGTTATAGATTTTCCTCCATCTTTAATAAATTATTAGCAAATTTCAAATAGTAAAATAAATTGAAGCTTGACTCTTAACTACTTTTTATAAGGTGCCCTTCATGTAGGCCAAATATTCATGAAAAATAATCATAAGCACAATATACATTTATTGTAGAAAAATTAGAAAGTAATGAAAAGTATGGGGAAACCCAAAGCCTAAACCACTATTTTCATTTAGGTTAATTCTGTTCTCTTGAGTTTTATGGTTTTAGTCTCTTTCTCTAGGTATAGACATGATGTATGTATGTGTGTGTGTGTATATATATGTGTGTGTGTGTGTGTGTATGTATGCATATTTATATAAAATGGATTATTTTATGTGAAATGTTTTATAGCTTGTCCTTTTTCGTTTAAAATTATGAACATTTCTCCATATGTATGTGTTTGTACGTGTGTATATTTATAGAAAATGGGTCATTTTATATGAAATTTTTTTTTTTTTTTTTTTTTTTTTTTTTAATCCTCACCCGAGGACATTTTTCCCATTTTTTGTACAGATAGAGTGGGAGGGAGAGAGAGGAAGAGAGAGAGAAACATCGATGTGAAAGGGACACAACGAGTGGCTGCCACCCGCACGACCAACCAGGGCCGGGGACAAACTGCAACCGAAGTACGTGCCCTTAGCGGGAACCGAACCCGGGTCTCTCCGGACCGCAGGCTGACGCTCTAACCGCTGAGCCAAACCGGCCAGGGCTATATGAAATGTTTTAAAGTCTGTTCTTTTTCATTTAGTGTTATGAATATTTTTTACCAGTAAAATTCTCGAAAGTGATATTAAGTGACTACATAGCATTCTATTCTGAGATTATCCCCAGATTTAAGTATTCACCTATTGTTAAACATTTAGGTTTTCTTTCATGTATATGTACACACAAATATAAACACACATGTATATACATATACATATAATTGACAGTGAAGCACTCTAATGAAAAATTTTGAGTGCGTTTTCTCTGAAGAGTTGTAACCTCTGCTGCAGTCTGGCTCTTATATTTTGCCCTACAAAATTTACTCTACCTGTCTTCCTTAGTAAAAACAACCCTGATTTTATACCCGGGTATTATTACTGATGTCGGAGACTATATTTCCTATTCTTCCAAGTGGTTGGGTGTGGCTAAAACGAAGTTATAATTTATAAACTGTAAGATGAAATAGAGTTAGAAGGGAGCGGGGTGGGCCCTTCTTTCCCCTGCCTTCTTTCTGCTGCCTGCAATGTGGATGTATTAGCTACAGTTCCCATAGCCACCTTGGAGTAGGAGCCGACTTTGAATAGAACAGTAGATGGTACAGCAAAAGGTTGGAAGGAACTTGGCCTCCTGATATTGGAGTTGCCACATCAGCCTTTGATTGTCTACTTTTGGACATTTACATGGGAGAAATTCTCTTCCTTTGTTTCTTCCTCTCTTAAATTATTATATTATTATTTAAATTTTCTTTTTGTCTGGGGAAGGATATGACCTCATTCTGTCTGATTAAAGATACCATTGTTTAATGTTCTATGTAGTAATGTGATAGGCCAGATATAAAGAAATATGTGTTGTGTCATGGTAGATCCAGGTTGAATCCAAAATCTACTTTGAGACTAGAGAGCGAGTATTGAAAAGAAAGCACTTAAAATTATACATAATTTCTGGAGCTCTTTGATAATTATATTGCTGAATTTTGTCTCAAGTGCTTTTATTAATTATCACAAATATTCTTTCAGAAAACATTTGATAGCTTTTAATGACCCCCCCAAACCACTGAGGAGTATATATTATTTTATCAGAATAATCCCTTCAAACCCTATGAATTTTTAATAAGATTAAATATCTTGCCTAGTCACTGCAAAGTTAACTCATAGATGTGACTTTTAATGCTCTCATTAACTTTATTGGAAGAATTTTGATAAATGAAATTAAAAAGCTTATAACTGTAGACTTATATTTTAGTATTGATTCTAAGAAAACTATAACTTAAGTGAAATAAGTGAAGGATACACATTTTAAAAAATTAATAGGCTTTAATTTTTTTAAAGCAGTTTTAGATTTATAGAATAATTGAGGAGAAAGTACATAACGTTTCCGTATACCCATTTTTCTAAGGATATACATTTTCATCTAGGGTATTCTGTTGCATATAATGTTATACATATTAAAAAACTTTTATGTCTCTGAACCAAATCTGTATTCTTTTATAATAGGAAATTCATATACTACAACGATACTTATATTCTAATCCAGGGTTTTCCACCCTCAGCACTATTAATGTTTTAGGCCAGATAATTCTTTGTTATTGGTGGTTGGGGGAGCTATTCTGTTCATTGAGGATGTTTAGCATCATCCTTGATCTCTTTCTACTAGGTGCTGATAATATTCTTCATTTGTGACAACCAAAAAAGTGTCTCCAGACATTGCCAAATGTCCCTGGGGGTGGGAGGTGGGGGTGGGCAAATTGTCCCCAGTTGAGAACCATTTGTAATCAATTATGGTGGTCTAGGATTTACTGTATTTTTTAGTTTGGGCTCAAATGGTAGTTGAACAAACCGTTACAGGGAATTGATGTAGACAAAGTTAGAATCTTCCGTGCCACTGGGCATCTTAGGTAGTATGCTTAGTATTACTCTGTCTCAGTTTTCTTGAGTGTAAAAAAGGTAAAATATTACTTAACTTGGAAGGTTGTTTTGGTAATTCATTGAGATTACATTATATATAAAATGCTTTGATTAATTTTAGTTTCCTTTTCAAATGTGCCATATTGATTGAATTTATTCTCTTAAATGTGTCATAACTCATTACAAAGTTCTTATTTCTGTGGGGAACTAATCATAGTTTGGGATCTAATGTTTATGGATTTCCAGAGTACTATACTGTGGATGGTTAAAAACTAAGTAAATGTTCAGTAGAGACTGACTTATGAGGTCAATTGTGTTTTGACTCTTTGTGGTCTTCTAATTATATTGTCACTGCATTCAAATTGTAACAGTTAAGTGATCTCATGTGTTCTTTCAAGGATTCTGAGCTTCTCAAATTGAGGATAGCATTAGATGTCAGCCCGTCACTTTGTCCTTTGAAGTTTTTGTCTTCACTTCTGAAATCCCGCCAATTTTAACAGCTTGTGTGTCAGCTCCAATAGAGGAAGCTGGCCTCTGTCAGCTTGTACTTAGTCCATTAAAGACTTCTACAGACTTGACATAGTTTTCAACTAAAAATGTCCACATCCCATTGCTACTTTTTAGAATTATAAAACATGTTCCCTGGTGAATGAAATGCCATCTGTAATAATTAAGGTTATTCTTACTCTTCTACCCCTGCAGAAAATTTCCAAAGACTTGGTGAAGGAAGACTTTGTGGTGAAGACTTTCTGATAGGAAAACGATCAAAGGCTGTAGCACTATTATACTGTAAGTATTGCTTTGAAAAAGAAGTGTACTTTTAAGAATATTTTCAGTGTTCAATTGTTTTGAGGAAAATATATTAGGCAAAGATATTATATGTAAAATAAAGAGGAGGATATATTATAATCATGTTAATAATTTATAAGAAGTAATCCTATACAGTCTTTTAAAAATTGAAAATATGTTCTTATGTATTGAGATGAGGATTTTACCAATAGTATTGAAAAATATTTCTAATTCTAACAGAGGTTGATCTAGTTTGTGTACATTTGCTTATTTAAAACTATCCGAATCCAGAAAATCATTGTAGTTTTGTAGGTTTGTGATTTGTTTGAGTGACTTATTGTTTGGGGTTATTTTGCAGAATTATTTATTTGCTGATTTATTTATGTATTTCATTATTTATTTATTTGATTATTTAGTAAATTATTTATCTGATGAATTATTAATACATCTTCATGACATGCTTTAAATTATTTATAACTTAATTTTGAGTTTATTGCTTTTAGACGCTGCATTGTTACTGACTAGTTTTGATTTTTTTCTTTGTGGTTCTTTAAAATTAAAGTATTAGCTCTAAGGCAAAAGTATATTCATTGCAATGCCCATGGATTTTTAAAAAAGTAAATTATGGTAGAGATAAAATTTTAGTTATGCTTTGTTTAGCTCCTGATATACCTGTTTAGGGTTATCAGTGATAGAATGTGTGTTGTGTGAATACTCATTATAGAGTCACTTACAAATTAGTAATATAGCCTATCGTCTCTCAACCGATTGACTTCTAAACCTCAGTCTACATTACCCTTTGTGTCTCTAAAGGACCCATCTGTATTTCTTACTTGCTTTAGAATAAATAACGGAGTCCTAGTTATTTTACTTTGGTGAAAAATCTATTTTACTACTGGAATTTTTTGAGGAAAGTTCAGAGAAATGAAGTCCAACTTAGATTTGGATTCCTGAGATATAAATTTGACTGATGTTGCCTTTGTTTTTTAAATCCCCATTATATGTGTATTGGAAAACAGCATGATGTTTATATATAGATTTTTATATCAATCGTAGAGACATATTTATTTCATATCATATCTCTTATGGAAAGTTTTATGCCTCTTTATTTTAATGAACTAAAATGGACAAGGGTCTTTATAAATGCAAGCTATAGTTTCTTGGACTTTATATAATAATTCTCTTATGTAAAGTTTCTATTTTTAACCAAATAAGGTATATCTTCTGTCTTCTGGCTCTGTTTCATAAGATAGTATAGTTATTCGGGCTCGCTTGTTGAATGGGTAAAATAAATAGGTTAAAACAGTTGTTTGGGTAAAAGAGTGTCATGTGCACAACATGGTCTTTTGTGTTTGCTTGCAGGGAATTACTGTGTATTTTACAGTTTTTAACAATTCAGAGAGAAGTAGCATTGTGCCTTTCTTGTTAGGATGCTGTTGAAGTAGAGTGAAAATGGCCTCTGTAGACAGGTTTCACTGCAGAATTGTAAATTATGCATATTTATATCCAAATTTCTTATTTTGAAATATTGAATATATGAATGTTTATTTAGAATATTGCTTTAGTATTTTCATATACTTGCCATAAAGGAAGTTGTTTCATTTGATTTGTATACATGGGGTTAAAAGTGTATGTAATTGTACATGTCATTGACTTTTCTGTTCTGGAGATGAACAACCACAGATACTATTAGATATGGAATTTTATTTTGAAATGTACTTTAGTATTCCAGTGTGGACTTCTTTAGAAGAAAAAAGCTTTCTTCTCCCATGTTGAATAAGATCTGTATTAGTTATCATGGTAATATACCCAGCCCACACTATTAACAAGTATTTGTGGACTACTATCTGTGTTATTAAGTGATCTCTCATTGGAAAATAGACACACGTGTGCACACACACATGAACTTTTCTCCTGACATCAAAATAAATTTTTAGGTTTTATTTTTTAAAAGAGACATTAGGGAGATTATTGTAATAATAGATAGAATTTATTGAGCACTTATTATATGCCGACACAGTGCTTATATCTTTTAATGGATTGTTACTCTTCACAGTGAGATAAGTACAGTTATTATCTTCATTTTACTAGTGAGGAAACAGAGATTTTGCTACACAGCTGATAGTAAGTGATGGTGCTGGGATTAGGACTCATTTAGTCTGACTTTCAAGAGTCTCCTTTAGCCCATGACAGTATTTGTAGTTGGATGTAGTTTTTCACCAGAGTTGTTTTATGTATTTATTTTAGTTATTTATTTTTGATAGGCTTAATTTGCTAATTTTTTTCACTTTGCATAATATTGATCATCTGTTAAATTGATCATACAATTAAATTACCTCTAAATATAGTGTTTCATACACAGTTAAGTATTTAAATATGTACATAACAAGAACAAGAAAGTAACCAATTGTAACTTTAAACACTTAAATGTATTTATTTAAAAGATTTTGGGGAGCCTTAGAGAGTAAGGAAAAAAGTGAATTTGGTGTGAGGCTAAGGGAAAGGGATCTTTCATCCCTGTTTGCTACCTGCTGATAAAGGGAAGCCTCCTTCCTCAGTCTGAAACACACAAAGGATATCAGTAAACAGTTGAGTTAGAGTTGGACAGCAACAGAGGTCTGGTGATGTTGAATGAGTGCCATAAGTAACTGCATCTGAATGAATGGCAGGGTACTGTGTGAATGGCTCAAAGTTTTAAGTTAGAGTTTTCAAGTAAATATTTAATGTTACATTAGAAAATCCTCAAACCCATGATTTAGATAACATGAAGTACTGTAATAACTAGGATGAACATATAATTTACTATCCAATTCAGGCCAGTTTTGAGAGTGAAAGGGTGTACTGTAATATGCCAGGACAATAGGTATAAACTGGGATCTTCTTAGCAAAATTGGGACTTATGGTCACCCTAGTAATATCTCAAATTCCTGTTGAATAATTCCTGATAGTCTTATAAAATATATATTTAAGAGGAATCTTGCCTGGCCAGTGTGGCTCAGTGGTTGAGTGTTGACCCATGCACCAAGAGGTCGCTGGTTCCATTCCACGTTAGGGCACATGCCCAGGTTGTGGGCCCAGTCCCCAGTGGGGGCATGCAGGAGACGGCCAGTCAGTGTTCTCTCTCATTAATGTTTCTAACTCTCCTTCCTTCCTCTCTCTCTCAAAATCAATAAAGAAAAAAATAATTAAAAAGGAATCTTAATTCACATGTGATATGTTTAGAAATGTTTTATTTTATGATAAAACTAACTTTGATTATGGCCACTTATGTGTTTTTGTTAGCCAATCATGACAGTTTGTAGCTATGACTTTTATAAAGGATGATTGACGTTTTTCAGCTTTTGGAACTTATTTTCAAGGTGAAAATAAAGAGGTATTTCTATTGGGAAGAAAAAGATGAGTATGGCAAAATTGGTCTTAATATAGTAGTTAATTCTAAATTTTTTCTTCATATTACACAAGGATTTTTTTGTGCTTGTTTTGTTTTGTAAATATAATTGACAGCATATTTGACATTGTACTGAAAACTAATCCTATTTGTTATACTTTCAGATTTTATAATTTTTTTGCTGGTGAAATTCTGTGTGTAAAAATAAGAATATCTGGAAGAGTTGCTCAAAGGTTGTGTGTGTGTGTGTGTGTGTGTGTGATTTTCTTTTCAATTCCCTCTTGACATGTATTTATCTAACATGGCATATTACATTATTGAAGTCATAATTAGATTATTAAATTTAAATTTCTCCTTAATTTGCATTTAGATTATAGATGATTTGTTAAGTTGAACTAGGTAACCACACTGGCATATTTGTATTTGAATGTACATTAAAAAGAAAAATTCTCATGCAATCATTATTATTCATAGGTATAATATCAGAACTGTTTTTGTTCGGAAAGGCCTATTATGCTTAGTAACAAAAGTAAGAGTTTCCATATATTCTGCCTGGAGTTTGTCATAGTGTGAAGCACTTTATGAAATACTACTATAGTTGTAAGAGTAATAACATAGCTTATGTGTTGGCTCCAAGAGTAGCTCCTTTATAATTATGACAAGTAAAAGTACAGCCAAAGGTCACATTAAACACAGGATTTCTTTCCTACCTCATCTGTTTTGTGGATAGCATGTGAAGTAGTTTGGGTCCCCGTACATTTTAAGAGAGTAACCCAAGGTTGTTCCCATGGAAGTGTTTCAAATATCTTTTCTTCTATCTCCCATGTGGTTGCAATATTTGGCATGAATGTATATTTGAATTCTGGACTAATTAAATAGAACCTTATTAAATTTAGATTTTGTACATTAAAAGGGGGACTTTTATATTGGAAGGTTTTTGTAGGGCACTACAAAATAATACTGACATATAAGAGTCTTTAATATTGAATACTATATTGACCAAATGTAGTGTCTTAGTTTGACCACATTAGTATTGATATTGCTCACTCAAACAGTAAATACCAAACAATATACCACTACCACAAAAACAGAAAATGAAATCACACAAATGAAATTATATAAGCCTGACATGCCAATACATAATACAATCTATTGATCAGATCCTATTTTTGACTTTAATTTGGTAAATAAAAGTTGGAATATTGAAGAAGTCATATATAGGAAAGGTTTTTATTAAATAACTTATGTAAAGACAATATATACATGTTCCAAAGTGGTTATCAAATCCCTTTAAGTCATCCTCAGTACACAATACCAAAAAATTTAGACGGAGGTAAAGATGTTTGGAAGAGGATAAAATTGGCAAGTTATAGTTCTTTGTATAATTAGTAAAATCATTTCTTTGTTTTTGAAATACTTTTTTTCTATTGTTTTCCCCATTATTGCATGCTTCTTGCAATAAGACTTCTGATTGCATAGATATATAAAAATTAACTGCATATGAAGTATGCATAATAATGGAGTTGAAAGATGAGATTTTACTTTGTCTTAAGCACCTAAATAGAATGGATGTAGTTTTTCACTTAAAATGTGAAAAATAACTAAAACTAGT